TGGCATGATTTTACTGGTGGAGAAGTATTAGGCAATTTGTCCTCCATGTTTGGCTCCCAGTTTCCCAGGGCCTTTCTTAAACATTATTCAGTGGAGCGAGATGGGGGCGGGGTGGGATGGTTGTTGGGGTGGTGTGGATCATCTTTGAAGAGATTACAGCAACGACTTCAGTCAGGTGGAAGAAATCACTGTTCATGTTTGTGTGAGCTTAGCTTGAAGTTTGTGTCTCGGAGACAAAATCCATAACTTACCTATTACTTTAGGTACTGGACAGGTCGGCTGTGCCGTGCTGCATGATTTTATCTTAGAGAGAGTCTCTGTTAGAATAAAGAATAAAACAGTCATCAGTCATTCATCAGGAATGTCTGACCAAATATCAAAGTGTATCTTAAATATTCTTACCTGTGAGATTATTATCACACTTCATTTTGTCATCTTCCAGATATTTGACCTTCTTGTTAGCTTTAATTATTTCAAATGCTGATTTAACAAAGATCAAACAAGTACACAAACAAATAAATCAGTCAGTAAACATTTTTCTTTACACTGAAAACATTCTTATAGCTCTGAAAATGTAAAAGACAGTATTTTGGGGAAACATTAAACAGAAGCATTATTCTTCTAACATTACTTAAAATAATTGATTTTACTTTAAGTCTTATTAAATTCTAATGTTAACTCACTGGTAAAACACAGAGCAATGAGAGCAGCTGACAGGAGAACACCGAGAACCACCAGGACCACTCTCTCTGAGGTGACCTTTGACCCTTTCCTCACCACAGCTTGTTGAGGATCCTCTGAATAGTGAGAAAAGGAAACACGTTAGAGATGTGGTGTAAATGTGTTTCAGAATTTTATTGAGCTAGATTTTAGATGTTAATGTTCTCACTGTATTTGTACAAAGAACACGATTCACTGGCTCCTTCTTCGAGCACAGAATCGCAGATTTAAAACACACCAACCTCAAAGGTAAACATATGACTTATAAGCAAGGCAAACAATAACATATTTGACTGAACCGTATATTCATTGCACATTCCTGTCTTTAAAAATACTGGACAGGATGAAAAAAATACATGGGGGGCGCGACCCAGGCTCGGCGCCCAGGAGATTTGACGTTGTAAAGTGCAGGTCAACCTTCCAAAGACAGCGCGTTAGAGAGATGAAGAAAAGAGTGCAGGCAGATGAGTATGACAACTCAGGTCGAGTGGTTTAGAGACAAAGTTAGAGAGGTGAGGCTGAGATGGTTTGGACATGTGCAGAGAAGCAACAGTGGTTAAAGTGGACAAAGGATGTTGAAGATGGAGCTGCCAATAAGAATGACCACAGAGAAGATACATGGATGTTGTAAAAGGAGGATGCTGTCATCACCCCCTAAAGGAAGCAGTCGAAAAAAGATGAAGATTAAGGAGAACGCTGGCTTTGCATTAATTACAGCATCAAAGAAATATATATTTGTTATCCTGAGTGCTTATGTGGAGAGAATTAGGACAAAATCTTTAGCCGGGAATAAACACATATCGGCAGTTTGCATGAAATAATTTTGAAGGAAATTATTTAACCTTGTGAAATTTAGTGTATAATAAATAACATGTCAGTAAGAGGAAGTAGGATTTTTAGTAAAGATGATCTTTTGTACTGCAGATGCCTGATGAGCTATTTCCCAGGCAACTGTATTCTCATACTTCACAAACATGTTTGTAACAAGCCTGAAAAATGAAGGAGATGCTTCTTACATGGTTAAAGGTGTAAGAGGGTGCATTTTAACCCAGAGTATGTCCTTTTACTCAACTAACCCCGTAAAGTTTTATTGTCAATATACATCTAACCAAACGGTGGATGAGGACAACAGTTACAAGTCAAAAATATACTGGTAAACTAATTAAAACAAAAATGATATGAAAACTAATCTCCTGGATGAAACTGTGCATCCACTAACTGTCTTATGTGGACTACAAATAAGGAAAAATAAAAAACAATGTTAACAATGTTTAACAATTTTAATTTTTTTAAAAATGAAGTAGAGAGTGAGGAGGAACCGAGGGACAAAGAAAAACGGGTTGCATGGAGCTACAAGTTTCGTTTAGATAAATGAGCAGAGTGTCTGGTCAGAGTCGGTCTTTTGGGGACAAAAATTGACCAATTTTATGCAAATGATCTTTTAGCAGAGAAAAAATTGACCAATTTTATGCAAATGTCTTTTAGCAGAGAACTGCTCCTCGAGACAACCTCAAGCTCAGCACCGTAGTTCCTCTTCTGCAATAAGACGGACCAGTGGTTTCAGAGAAATGTAAAGAAACTGCATCGACATTAACACGCATGCACACACAGAGAAACTAATTTATTTAAAGGCACCACTCCTTCAGAACCACTTCCTCATTTTTTTATTTAACTTTTACGTCTCTTTATAATTTCCTCAGTATAAACAAAAAAAGAAACCCCAAATTTTTTTTAAAAAATGGGGAAACTTGTAAATGAGACACTTAAAAAAACGAGTGGGTCTGATGTTGTCAAATTAAATTTACATTAAATTTAGAATAAAGTGTGGTGACAACTCTACTACAATTTTGTTTTTGTTCTTTAATAATTTTATTTCAGCTACTTTTTATACTGACAGCCTCTGTGGTGCAGTGATGTCTATCATTTATCTCATATTCATCATTGTCATCTTTTTGTCTTAAGTACTACTGTAAAAGTTTGGTGTGTTTATGTGTTGCACACATTTTGACCTTCTTTTTTAAATTTACATAAAGCTACAATTTTGGAACAAATGTTCTGCTTTTTTTCTTTTTACTGATTCAGATGGATGTTTTGTTTTCAACGACAGAGCTCTGTTTGACCAAAAACCACATTTCTGCTTTATTTTAGGAAAAAGTGCTACCTCTGTTGTCTGTTTACTTAATAACAGACACTAACTGGAGCTCACAGTTAATCCTCCTGTTTATTAATTACTGCTGTTTTCCTACCAGACAGCTCTGCTGTGGATGGCTGAGTCTTTGAGATCTTGATTTCAGAGTAAGTCGAGTCAGTCCATGTGTTAACGGCCTCTGTAATGAAAGATGAAACCGGATTGTTGCACAGCTACCACTGAAAATGGCTGCCAATAAAATGAGCGGCTGTTAACATATCAATTAATCACCAAGATGTATTCGGGGACACTGCACATAATCGACACCAACTGATAATCACATGATCCGATGTCCATATCGTACCACAATGTAATATAAGACAAGCTTTCAGAGATTCTTTTGGAAATCTTCTACATGTAGTAAGATGACTAGATAAGTCTCACCATTGGCTCTCTTTTTTCCTCTTGCAAGCTTCACATCGGAGTATACTACCTCAGCTTCAGGCATTTTGCTGTGTGTGTGTGTGGCTGCTGTGTATTAGCAGTTCTAAAAGAGAAGTTTCACAGCATACAGACAAAAAAAAAACTTCCTCACAAGACCACCCAAATCTCTCTTTTTTTTTTAACTTGTGGTAATTTACTTCCTGTTTTGGCGGGATAAAATGAAGTAATCTTCCATTTCAAGCTCAGTTGTAATGAATTGTGCCATAAAACACTCCAGTTATCACAGGAAGGTCACACAACATACACACACACACACACCACCACAAATTAAATATACTATATATATATATTATATATATACTAATATATATATATAATATAATATATATTATTACTATATCATATATATATATACGTGTGTGTGTGTGTGTGTGTGTATATATAATATATATAGTATATATATATATATATGGGTGTGTGTGTGTGTGTGTGGTGTGTGTGTGTGTGTGTGATGTAGTGGGTGGCTATTTGTTGCACACATTTTGTCCTTCTTTTTTAAATTTTATTACAGACAGAAATTGTTTTGGAACATATAAAATTATTTGTTCTACATTTTGTTTTCTTTTTACTGATTCTGTCGCATGTTTTGTTTCCAATGCTCGTGTCTTAAATACACATTTTGTGTTACAGCCTTTTTCCAAAATGCATGAAATTCATTTTCACCTCAAAATTCTACACAATTTTGTACAGTTGTCAGACAGGCATCTAACTATGAAAAGAATTACACTCCAAAAGACCCCAGGCTTCTGAAAAAACAACCTGGGCTTAAGCCCTAGTAAGCCACCCCCCGCTCCGCCCTCCGGTGCCTGACAGCTCCAGCATTAATCTGTGGATAGAGGAGAAACTTCCAGAAGGACAACCATTTCTAAACTTCACCATTCAGGCCTGTGTGGTAGAAGAAAGACAGTTTTCATTAAAAGGCACATGACAGCCTGGCCGAAATCGCCCAAAAATAGTTGTGCCAAGATTGTGAAATAATTCTCAAAAAGAACTGAGGATGTATTTTCTTCCAAAGATGCTTTAACAAATTATTGAACAAAGGCTGAGAACACTTATACAAATGTTTTGTTGTTGTTTTTTTTACTTTTTTTTTTTCAAGAATTTTAAGCAAAAGTTTGATATATGGCATAAGTTACAGCCTAGATCAGATGCAGAAGTATAATTCACGTGTTGAACGTTTTTTTGGCAGTTTTCTAAATACACTTTATACTGTGAGGTAAAGACCCTGCAGAAACACAAAGAAAATCCCAACAGTCAGATGACCCTATATGAGCAAGCACTTGGTGTCAGTGGGAAGGAAAAACTCCCTCTTAACAGGAAGAATCCTTTAGCAGAACCAAGCCCATGAAGGGGCTGCCATCTGCCACGACTGGTTGGGGTGATCAGAGACACTCCTCATCTCGGTACTTTAGTGAACTTCAGGCCCTGCTTCACACTATGTGGCAACTGGGATATGCCCCAGCAACACTGGATTGGTTAAGAAGAGGATGGTCGGATAAATTATGGAATAATATATTGATATTGATATATTAATTATTGTTGTTAAAAGTTTTAACAGTGAACATTTGTGTAAACTTTATGTCAATTTAGTCACAAAAATCAGTCATTCAATTTTAAAATACCATTAAACAATACTATACTAATTATATATTTAAAAAAACAATCCGCAAAACAAAGGAAATGTTTAATTATGAAGGATAAAACAAATAAATGTGTGACCTTTATTTTATGTGGCACTCTAGTGTTCATTCTCGTAAGTTTTTTTTTAATTCAACATCAGTTTCAAGTAACTATCATACTTTTCTGTTGTTGTTGTTTTTTCTGCTTTGTTTATTTGTTTTACAAATTGGCATTTTCTATTGAAGCCCTGTTCGTAAGTTACACAAGGTGTTTTACGAATTCTATCCAATCAGCTGGCACAGGTAGCGATAGACAGAGCCCTGAGCAAGTCATTCAGCTGTTCTGGTGATAGAGCAGTCTGACAGCCAATCAAGCGCACTAGTCTAAGGGGCGGGGTTTATGCATTGTAGCGGAAGAGAATGCGGCGGTCCTTCCTTTTCTAGCCAACTTGGCTGAAGTCTACCCAGGACTACACCGACGGACTTTATTAAAGTTTCTGCCGCGGTGCCCCCCCAGGTCCTGACATGGCCCCCAGCACGCAGCTGAAGGAGGCGATAGCCGATGTGCAGGACGGCATTCGTGCCATCCTTCTTGGACCTCCTGGAGCTGGGAAGGGGACTCAGGTGAGAGCAGAAATATCCAGACGAGCTAATGAGCTAGCATTAGCTGTTAGCGGCTAGCCTGAAATATAAGTAGTGTATTCTAGGCGCATGGTCGGTGCTAATGCTAGCCTGCCAGGCTTTAGAGCCAGCTGTCAGTCTCTTTATCTCTAGGTATATGTTCTAATCCTCTATGTAATAATAAAATTTACTCTCACAACGACCTCATTAATGTCTGAGTTTCTGAGAAATCCAATGCATTATCTGCTTTTAGCTTCACAGTGAAGTGCATACCGAAACCTCTACCAGCCAAATTTGTTACAGCTATTTTAATGTGTTTGTCTTTTTTTTCTTTTGGTGCTATTTCGAAATAAAAGTTTAATACTGGACTCCTTCCAAAAGCAGTTTATACATTTGTTATTATATATGGAGTATATTGTGCTATTTACAGGCTACAGAAGCATAAAATTGTTTTAAGTTCACAACTGAAACAAAAACTTTTTATATGATATATGAAGCAGCAGGAAAAGTACAAACCCATATTTATAAAAACCTGCTGATTCAGTTTAATACCTTGTTATTAAAATTAGTTTTCCTATTGTTTCTCCTTAAAAACCCGGAGCATCTGTGGTTTATTTTAAATAACGTTGTGTTGTTGTTGACTGGTGAATTGTTCACAATAATGCTGAAAACAGTTCTTGATATTTACATGTGAATATTTTCTTTTGACTGTATTTATTGTTGTAAAATTGTGGTGAAAATAAATCATTTAGTTTCATATTCCTTAACTAAATGATCAATAAAAATATTTACCAGGTTAGGGTTAGCCTTTTTTATTTTTAACTTTATCATTCAGAATAGTACTCCATTTCTAATTTTTTCAGATTTTACTAAATCATCTTTACATATAAATACATCAGTTGTAAATTAGAAACAATAGCCAACATTCAGTACTTGAGAAACCTCCCAGGAGCCTGCAACCAGAGCTGCAGCAGTCATACAGAAATACTAGTGTGGAGAAAACTCAGATGGAAGTCTGAGAAGACCAGTTGCATACCAGTGGGTTTTTCTTAGAATTATATTGTGCAAAACTGGAATTTCTTCAGCATTTCATTGGCATGTAAGGCTCCAGTGTCGCAGTTACATAACTCGGTAGGATTCCTGTTGCAGCTGTGTAGAGCGCTGAAACCCAGATGTCTGTCTCAGTGTGACCTTCGTCATTGTGTCCTGCGGTTCACTGTGCAGTCCTCTCTGATCAGGCACATGGACGTGTCTGATAGCACAGACACGTGCTGTCAGAATAGATCCATGTGTTTGCTCTCTCATTTGTTTAGTGTTGTCATTTGTTTTGAGTGCTTTGTTTACCCAAAAGCACTCTGTTGCAAACCCCGTTTTAGCATCACCGATCAAATGTTTTAAATAAAGCTTCAGCGTCAATTTTATTTCTATAACATGTTTCATTACATGTACACTCAGTGTGCTTACCAAAAGAGATTAAAGGTTCGCAATGCATTAAGAGAATTTAAAAAAACAACAACACAGAGTTAAAACACAGCGTTATGTGTAGGTGTGTGAAAATAAAAAGGAAAATGATTAATTATGTTGTGCACAAGCAGGAATGATAGTTGTTGGTTCTGGCTCATTTAAAAATGTAATTTTTTTTTTCTTCAGGATATGTCAAGATTCCCTCAATTATCAATTTTTACTAAATGAAAAATCAATAGTATGAATCGGTCAGTGGTGAAAATAATTGTTAGCTGGAGATGTTGAAGTATTGGACATTGCTGGCATCTATGCAGCATATGCTCTACTGCAGTTGAGGCCTTGTCTAAATGAATTAAGCACACCTTTGTTGGTTAAGGATCTTCACTCTGTTATGATTTTAATGAGCTTATATAAATTATAACCTTTGACTTCATTAGTTGCAACATATAAAGAGAATGTCTTCTAATTTTTAATCCTCAGATGAGTTGAAAAAGTGAAAGCTACGCCGTCTAGAAGGTCGAGAGCTCCACAGATCAGTCTGTGGTGCTGAAAACTTTCTTTTCAGAGCCTTATGCTCAGAAACCTACATCATGGTTTTATTTGTCAGTGGTGCAGGAAGTATTTGTTCATCAGTGTTTAGGTCAACAGCCAAATATTTCCTTCAGTTGGTGTTTGGTAGTGATGAATAGTAGTTCCATATTAAAAAACACTTTCTCTCCCCTGCAGGCCCCTCGGCTAGCAGAGAAATACTGCGTTTGCCACCTGGCTACTGGAGACATGCTGAGGGCCATGGTGGCTTCAGGCTCCGAGCTCGGCAAGAGGCTTAAGGAGACGATGGATTCTGGCAAACTGGTAACTGCTCTTCTATTCATGATCTCTCTATGAACTTTTCTTCCTGTCCCTTTGTCTCCTCTGAGGTTTTTATTGACTTTGCAGCTCGTCATCCCGAGTCTTTGATGACATCTCGTGTTTTCCTTGTATTACAATTACTTCCTTCCTTCCTTTTCTGCAGTGATGGTTCCAATAAAGTTTATTAAAACCACATAACTGAATCAACAATAATGCTAAAACAAAACTAATGGTGCATTCACACCTAACGCGATAGACACGACCAGAACATCAGGTATAAAAAGTCAATGGAGGAGCATGATTGTGACTGTGGGTCCCGCGAAAATTCAGAAGCAGATTTGCATCGCAAAAAAGCAACTGACGCGTTTGAAGCGCGAATAAAAGTATGCGCAGCAGTTTGTGTGGTGCATTTTGTGCATTCGAGTTGGGAAGATCTGAACTCCAGTGTCAAGTCGTGCCGCGACAACCAATCAGTGATGTGATTCTCTGACCTAGTTCAAAGGGGCAGGTCCAGCCAAAGCCATTCATTCTTCATTCAATATGGAGGACAGGCTCATCAACGCCGTAGCCAACCACCCGGAGCTGTACGACACCAGCTGCTTTCTCTACCGAGAATTGTAATATTATTTTGAAATTTTTGTAATGACTAATGTCTCGGTTCTACTACACAGCAAACTTGACAGACAACTTGACACGTGTGGAATTTATTTCATATTATGCTAAAGAAAAAATATACTACTATATAGGAACATAGTGAAGACCAATTATTTAAGAGAATAAAGAGAGGTTAGTTTATTTTGGAGGCAAGCTCCATTTATTAAGAACATTTTAAAAAGGCAGGAATGCTCTTTAGAGGTTTATGGGTGGCTCTTAAAAGAGTCGTTGTGGGGAAGTCGCTGGGACATCAAATGGGAATATATCAGGTAGCAGGTATCAATAAAGGACTACCGTATAAAACACTCTGAAGCGCTCTGAAGGTGGGATTGAGCGCCTGTAGTTGGTGTCTAGACGGGCGACGCTTGGACCACTGCGGGACAGCAGATCCTCAAACTGGGCGAGGGAAAGACGGTGGTACCGCCGAAAGCGGCCGTCATCCAGGCGCAGCTCCGGGAGCAAATGGTGAAACTCACCAAACTGCTCACTCTTCTGGAGGACCTGATGGTCCCAGGTACGGCGAGGACGTCCTTTAAGCTGCTGCTCTGCTCTCCACAGTAAATAGAGAAGGGAGACTCTTCAAACGCTAGATTGACAGCTGCCATCTTCCAAACATACAGTCTGGCACTACTTCCTCCCACATTTCCACTTCACGTGTGTAAAAAATTGCATATTTTGAAGCGTGACCAATTCGCATTGGTCACGCGTCGAGGTGCGAATGTGCACGCGACCAGCTAGGGGTGTCTGGCGCTTTTTGGTCGCGTGTATCACATTCGGTGTGAACACGCACCGTAAGAGAGGCATGAAGTGAAAAAGCATTTTTTTTTAATTTTTTAAAGTCTGCACGATGTGGACGGGCGGATGTTTGTTCCAGTTCAGTTTTTTATGCTCTTGCATGTTCACTATCAAGACTACACTCCAATCCATGATCTGTATGTAGCATTCAAATCGAGTTGTATTAAATCAAGTTCAATGAACTTTATAATGACTACTTTAAAATTTGAGACTGGATCAGATTCACCTATAAAATCATGTTATACTTTTATAGTGGACATGCTCTGCTGACCTGACTTGTGTATATAACTGTTTACATATAAGAGGCACAAATTAATACAGAACAATGAACCCCAAGATTTTTATTTTTTTTGTTTTGAATGGGGAAATGGTGTTGGGATGAGAATCTTGTTGATTTTTAAAGCCATTTTATTCTGTATCATAATAAATTGTTTGTGATTCTGTGGCCTCTTAAGTCTCTTTAATGTCAAAACTCACTTCTGTAACATTTCTAGGCGTCTGTGTGTTTTCCTCTATATTTGTGTCCAGCGCTGTACACATGTTTGTGCAGCTGCTGCAGAGCTCTTTGTTTCCATTTCATCTCCCAGCATGTAACCGAGGTTCCTGGTGTGATTTTCTGCCATCTGTTTGACTCTCACAGTTTGGTGCTGTTTGCTCATA